ACATCCATTGGCAGGGTGAAAAAAAATTTGGGGAGGGTAACCAGGGATTGAACTCAGTGACCCTCAATCACTGAGTCACATCCCCTATTTTGTATTTTATTGAGAGACAGGGTCTCACTGAGTTGCTTAATGCCTCGCTGTTGCTGAGGCTGGCTTTGAACTCATGATCCTCTTGCCTCCGCCTCTGAACTGCTGGGATTACAGGCATGCGCCACCGTGCCTGGCTGAAAATTTTTTTTTAAAAGTGATAACACCAAACACTGGGAGGATGTCAAGGACTAGGATGGTTCAGTCATTGTTGGTGGCAATGGAGAGTGATACAGGCACTCTCAAAAATGGACCCCAGTTTCTTATAGAATTAAACACGTGCTTACCATACAACCCAGCAAGTGTACTCTTGGGTCTTTGTCCCAGAGAAATGAAAACTTTTGTTCATACAAAACCTGGCACAATGAGTGTTCATGGAAGCTTTCTACCTAGCAGCCAATAATTGGAAATAGTCCAAATGTCCTTCCACGGGGGCGGGGGTGGTTATGCAAACTGTGAAGCATCTACACTCTGAATTCCTGGTCGGCAATAAAAAGGAACAAGCTACAGATCCATGCAAACATTTAGATGGATCTCAAGGGAATTAGACGGAGTGGAATAAAAGCCAATCCCCAAAGGTTACTCGATACGTGATTCTATTTAGATAGATTCTTGAAATAACATAATTATAGACATGGAGGGAGACTCCATATGGTGGCTGCAGATTGGAGAACAGAGGACACTGGCTGTGGCTACCATAGTACTGGTGGTGGTGATGGATCTGGATTGTGGTGGTGGCCACATAAACCTATGCATATCAAAGATTTGAATAAAAACCACACACACACACACACACCTCAATACACGTAAAACTGATAAAATCAAATAAAGCTGGTGGATTATATCCATGTCGATTCCCTTTTTGTATTGAATTGTACCATATTTATGCAAGGTTAAAGTTATTGTCGGGGAAAATGGGGTAAAGCAATTTTTTTTAAAGATAGAGAGAGGAGAGAGAGAGAATTTTAATATTTTAATTTTTTAGTTTTCGGCGGGCACGACATCGTTGTTTGTATGTGGTGCTGAGGATCGAACCCGGGCCGCACGCATGCCAGGCGAGCGCGCTACCGCTTGAGCCACATCCCCAGCCCAGGGTAAAGCAATTTGTGATCTCTTGTTTTCTTAAAACTTCATGTGAAACTATAATTATCTTAAAAAGATTCTTTTGAATGGTGATTAGGGAAGTGGATAAAGAAAGGTCAAGGTACTTGCCCAAGGTCACATGCTGGGCGATTGGACTTCAAAGTCTTGAGCTCATCACCTCTGCTCCATGCTGTTGGGACCTTTGCTTCCTGAATTTGCCCTCCCCCTCTCCTCATGGCTCTAGTGACCTGAGATGGCAAGTCCACGCTCTCACCCACACTCAGGGTGGACCTGTGAATGCTGAGTGCCATGCCCACCTGCCCCACAAGATGGAGGGGGTCATCCAGAAGGTCTGTGAGCCATGCAGGGCCAGAGTCCTTTTAGAGGAAAATATCATGGATGCTGAGAAAGAGAAAGACTCTTTAGTTCTGAGAGGACCACTGAAACAGAAATCTCCAAGTGCCAGTTCCCCACCATGGCAAGATGGTGTGTCTGAAGATCGAGAAAAGAGAAATCAGAGCAAGGAGTGTCTTCTCTGGGCTAAAAATTAGCCAGTCCCCATCTGTAGACCCGTTTTACCTTGGGGTCTACACCTTGGAGACGATTTTCCACTGAAGTTGTCAACCCACCTCCAAAATAGTTTAGATCAGGACTCTGGGAATACAGATTCTCACCTGAGTTCTGACACGGGTTGTGGGACATGGGACAAGTCACCTAACCACCAGTGTCCTCATCTGCTGCCTGGGATTTGACATCCCCCTCCCCAATGAACCACACTAGGGGAGCCTGGTGGTTTGCATTTCTAATTTAGCTGACCAGATCCTCAGATGACCAAATCTCTCCACTAAGTCCTTTCACAGAAGGGTCAGGGCTGGGTTCTGGGAGATGCTGGGCAGGTTGAGGGGGAAGAAAGCACAAGGCTTGGTGAGGGTTAATGTGGGAAAGCACCAAAAGATGCACTTACCCTGTACAGGGACCCCTATTGTTGATCTTACCAAGGAGGCTCACCTTGTGCACACCCCAATGCTATGTGTTCCTCCGTGCAGCATGGACTTTGGGGTCCAGCCTACCCAACAGCTTGGACTCAGTCAGGCAGCTTGCACTTGACTCCCACCTCAAACATGGCATGGGAGAGTGGCCAAAGAGTGGATCTCAGAATCTCAGATAAAGACGACATCCCTTATTCAGGTCCTAAGCTCTTCAAATCTCTTCCACAGCTTCACTGGGTACGGATTGGATGCTATCGGCAAATGGAGGCACAGAATGGTAAATAACTTTTCCAAGGTCAGAAAACCACGGAGTGGAATCGCCAGAAATTGAGCCCTGGTGTGTGTACGCGTTCATCCACGAGGCGATGGTCAAAGGCTGTTTTTATTCTCTGTCTTGATGAAGTATTTGTATGCTCTGACATTTACAAGGTAAATAGAACATGAGCTCCTAAGTCAGGAAGCTATTCCCTACCACTCTCTCTATTCAGGTGAGACTGACCTCCCCCTGATCTGGGGGTGGCCATAGATCTGGGGGTGGCCACAGATCAGGTCTGTCCAACCAGGATTCATATGCTCCAGGCCATAGTGATTAATTCAGCGATGGGCACTTAACACAAGCCAGAGCCATGAGATTTATTTTTTTAATATTTATGTTTTAGTTGTAGCTGGACACACTACCTTTATTGTATTTATATATTTTCATGTGGTGCTGAGGACTGAACCCAGGTTCTCACTGGTACTAGGCGAGCGCTCTACGGCTGAGCCACAATCCCAGCCCCTAGATCCATGAGATTCGATCTGGGATTTTTTTGATGGCCCCTGGCAGGATGCTATTTGTTGATTGGCTGGGCCTGAGTCATGTGCTCAGCTTTGAACCAATGGCTGAGGAGGAAGGGAGAAGATAGGAGAGTGGACTCTCCAAGGTCACTTCTACTCTAAGTGCATAGAGAGGGGGTGGGGAATTGGGTCTCTGAAGAAAAGCTTACCTTAGGTGAAGGGCATGGAGCTGGGAAGGCGCTGTTCCCATGCTCCTGTCCCCATGGAGGCTGGACGGAATTCTCCTCCACCAGCCCAGCCCTGTCCCAAGACAGACCAAGCCAGAACGGAGGAAGTGAGCCCAATTTCATGAAATACAGTGGTGGGGGACACCTTCTGGCAGGCTGATTTTCAGGATCCCAGAGACCCAGGCTACTCTTGTGTGGAGTCTCCCCCACATGATCAAGGTGTCCTGTATCCAGGTCCTGAGCTGTCCCCTCTGGGTCATAGGACGGTGCTTCCATCCTGCCTCCCATCTCAGATTCCTACTATAGCTATTGCCTGCGCTTCCGGTTTCTCCACGGAGGAAATTACAAAGTGATGAGTCATGAATGTGTTTTCTTTGGCTTGCACAGTTTTTTTAAAAAATGAAATCCATTGACATCTTTGAAAATCTAGACTTCCAGGTTGTCTTAAAAAAACTTGGAGGAAACTGTAACAGGCTGAGTAGAGGTGGTCCCGGGTTAGAGGGACATGCATCATTCAGCTCCCCACAGTGACTGGACCACTTCAGTCACAGCTGTTGCCTGCCTGGGCTCGGTGGATACGAGGTTGGGACCCCTGCCCTCTAAGCCTGGGCCTCAGTCCGACTGCCAGCCCTCTCCCATGGAGCTGAGGTTGTTCACTGAAATGCCACCCAGGCTTGCTCTGAGCTGCCATGCACTCTGCCACATTGTGCCCAGGGGCCTTGGGCAGACCACTAGAGGCTCTGGGACCCGGGTCCTGCAGGGAAGAGACAAGGAGATAACAGATGTGAATGTCTCAGGAGCAAAAGTGCTCAGATGTGGGCTGGTGACTTGGATAGCACCCCCCCCCCCTTTTTTTTTGGTAGACTGGGTTTGTTGGGGTTCTGGAAAAGTTTCCAAGATGTCACAAACACAACTGGCTGGTGGCGAACCCAAAGGAGCAAACAATTTCCAAGTGCCCAATTACTTGCCTTCATCTTTTCTCAAAGGGGATGCGTTTGCCTTGAAATTTATAAAGCACAGGAAACCCTTCTCCCTGGCGACTCTAAGCAATCTTCCAGTTTTTAGTCTCCCCAAAGTATTATAAGTAGCCATGTCATGTGACTAGACAGGACAAGGGGGTGGGGAAGGAATGCATGCAATCAGGAGATCAAAGACAAATCGATGCGCTGTTTTTCCTGGGGATAGGAGGGTCCCCATTTTCTCACTCTGAACTCTTCATCATTTCAGGATTTTTTAAGACCTGCTCATCATTTTGGAAGGCTGTGTGCTTTTCACGAACCATGTGGTGCTTGGGTCCCTCCGCTAAGGTCTGACCTTAAGAATGGAGACCAGCACTGAATGGATCCTTCATACCTGGGGCGGGGGCCTGGATCTATGGTCTAGACACTACCCTGAGTTACTGAGTCCAGGAATCTGCACGGTTACCAAGCCACACCTTCACGTGGCAAACCATATTCACATGAAAGGTTGAGATGAACTGATTCACACTCTAAATGTTAGAAGAAAGCTTTAACAATATATAGGCGGTGGATGTTGAGGTTTTCACTAGATGGCTCTGTTTCCTAGACAAGGCTGCTGTCTGCAGTGTTGAAGGCTGGGACCTGAGGCTGCAAAAGCATTGAGAGATTAGGGTGTTCCCAGACCTGTCAACAGGAATTCCAAATAAAAACAATAGGAAAGAGTAAAACACAAGTCTACACGTTGAGATGGCTTTCTTCTGGAGGTGCAAATTAGGAAATGTTGAATGAATATGTTTATTGAAACAGAAACAGTCTTATTCTAGGGATGCTGCTGTGTTGGCTCATGCCCCATGATGATCCTTGTTCAGCCTCCCGAGTCGTCTGGCTCTGGTATCCTTTATTCATTCAATAAACATGCAACAAAGGTTTATTGAGCACAGCAGCTAACAAATAAGCAAACCCCTTTGCCTCTGTGGAGCTCACATTCAGGTGATGGGGAAACAGGGAATAAACAGAGAAGATATGCAAGCTGCATGGCATGGTAAGAGAGATAAGGGCTCTGCGGGGAATGGGCATAGAAGTTCCCGGGGCTGAGTGATCAGGGAGGACTTTCCAGAAGGTCAGAAGTTTTTTTTTTTTTTTTTTTATACTAAGGATTGTGCTCAGGGGCATGCAATCACTAAGCCCCATCCCCAGCCCTATTTTGTATTTTACTTAGAGACAGGGTCTCACTGAGTTGCCTATAGTCTCGCTTTTGCTGAGGCTGGCTTTGAACTCAAGATCCTCCTGCCTCAGCCTCCAGAGCTGTTAAGGTCTGTAAACAAGTCTGGATGGCGCCTGGCATTTTGCCAGGGGGAGTGGTTTGTGAGGTGGAGCCAGCGAGCCATTAAGTGTGGAGATTCCTGATTGGTTGACTGCTGTATCTATTTTATGTTAATTAGATAAGCTGTGTGGAATGTATAAATATCGCTCCTGTCCTACAATAAACGGCTCCCACTCCTGCTGTATCAACGTACACAAGTTGTTCGTCACCCCCCGGTTATTTTGCTGCAGCCGGACTGCAGCACAGAGCCACTGGGATTACAGCACAGGCATGTGCCACTGTGCCCAGCCCTAAGGTCAGATTTAAGTCCTGAAAGGGGCAAGCAAGAAAGCCGCATGGCCCTCGAGGAAGAGGGGACAGAATTTTGCCTGACTCTGGCGCAGCCATGAGGTGGCCCCCAGCCCTCAGGGAGAAGCCTTGCGTTCCCCTCATAACCCAGAGGTAAGCTCTTATCTCATTGTTGACAGCCGAATTAACTTGTGCCCCACGGTTGGGAGGCCACAGGGGCTGTCACCCAGACTCTGCTCACAGTTGCCACGTTCTCCTGGGGGCTCACGTCAGATCTGTCAAGTGAGCATCAGTTTGCTCTGTGCCTGGACCCGTGCCAGGCATCTGAAGCTCAGAGACTGGTGCCCACCAGACCAGGAACTCGAGAACTTGCTAAATATGAGACGCAGAGAAGGGACGTCTCACTCAGCCTTGGGGCCGGGGGTCACCTTTGTGACGTTCGCTCATCATGGCCCCTCACCTCCCTCCGTACACTGGACTCTCTGGTTCTTCCAGGTCTTGAAGGTATCAAGTCCTTGCTTAGGGATTTTGCTGTTCCCTTGCTTTGTCTGGTGACCACCCTGGCTCCAGGAAAATGTCCTTCCCTGACTGCTCCGCAGCCTGGGTCACCGCCACGTATGCAGCCTCCTCTATTTCCTTCCGAGATCCTTGGGCACTGGTGTTAATACTCCTTTCTCCACGGACGTTGGGACTCAGTTTCTTCCATTTGTCCCTCCACCTCCAGGGCCTGACAAATAGAAGGTTCTAGATCAATACAGATGAAGACAATTTCCAAACGATGGATGGTTGAACAACCCCTGCTCTCTGGCAGGGTTTCCTCCAGCCTCACCCCCTTCTGCCTGCCCCTCGGTCCCGCTCAGAACACTCCTGGATGCCCTCACTGCCCCGGAGAAGCTTGTCCTCGGTCCTACAGTGTCATGGTCAAGACTATGGACTGGGGCATCCAGACAGGCTTGCTTGGGTCTCTGCCTCTGCCGCTTGCAAACTGGGCGAGTTAATTAAACTCTCTGAGCCCCAGCCTCAGTTTCCCCACCTGAGCAGAGAGTGCATCCCATCAGCAGCCACTTGGTTATTCTTCCAAACAACGGTTACTAGATCCTTCTCTCTGGAGGGGTTGCTTATACCACCGCCTGCCTTAGATGAGAGCCCGGGGCCGGGCTGGAGGCCCCTGGGGACCCCCCAACAGAGACCTAACAAAATGAAAAAGTCCAAACTCAGTGATTGTGCCCCTGGGGACCCTGAGTCAATGATCCGGGGACAGTTAACGAGCTCCCTTCTCTGCTCTCCCCCTTTGCAGGTGGTCGGGTGGCCATGCAGACCCAGCGGCTGCTCCCCGCACCTGCCCACCCCACTCATTCCAATTCCTTTGCAGTGTCCTAAAAAGCTAACGAGGCTGAAATCACTCCTTCCACTGCCCTGAAACCCCCGGGCCATTATTCAGTGTTCTCTGAGGCCCCGACCTCCTCCCCGCCGCCCAGCCCTCTCCATCTGTTGGGGTGCTCTCAGGGCTTGGCAGTGGGAAGTGCAGAGATGGTCTCTTCTGTGCCGGGTCTGCCTTGTTCAGGGTGGAGGACAGAGAGAGAGGCTGTCCCGGAGGGCCTGCTTTGGTGGAGAATTCCAACAGTGACCCTTCTGGCCCCTGAGCAATCATCCTGGGGTGTCACATTATGAAATAATGAATGTCCCCTGTGAGTGCCCCAGGAGAGGGGGCAGGCCATGTTGGCTCAGACCCTAGACCTGGGATCAGGACGCCTGGGTTCAAATCTTGGCCCCACTCTTTAATAACTATGGAATCTCAAATCTCAGACTAAAATAATATGAGCTGTTTGTCCTCCTTTCTTTTTTTCTGGGTGCTGGGGATTGAACCGAGGGCCTTCGTGTGTGCTAAGCATGGACTCTACCTCCGGCCACGCCCCCAACCCCCAATGGTAGCTTTGGTTTCACGTACAGCCTGTTCTTGGTGGCCGGCCTTTGTTCATAAGCCCACACGCTAATAATAATAATAATAATAATAATAATAATAATAATAATAGCTAAAGTTCATTGAGAACCAAACAATGCTTCTTGATTAATTAATCTAATCTCCACAGGACAGACACGTTAATGGGTAACTTTTGGGGGGTATTCAGGGATGTGCCTAATCTAAGGTTGGATACCGAAGCCCGGGACTCCGGGGCATTATTTGGAGGAGTGAGTGGCATGCAGACAGGGGACTGCGATAAGGACATTTTAAGGATTCATCTCCAGGATCAGAGCAGAGAGGACACTGTGTCCTCAGGCCAGCCCCATGGACTGAGGGGGTGTGAACCTGAGGGACAGAAGTATATCCTTTGTGTTTTTAGTAACGCGTGTTTCATTTCTGTATCTCTATATCCATGCTTTTGGATTTCTCAGCCTTCAGAATCATGAGCTAAAGAAACCTCTATTCCTTAATAATTACTTGGTCTCAGGTGCCAGGGATTGAACCCTCGGGTGCTTAACCACTGAGCCACATCCTCAGCCCTTCCTGGAGACAGGGTTTTGCTAAGTTACTTCTAGCCTCTCTAAGTGGCCGAGGCTGGCTTTGAACTCACGATTCTCCTGCCTCAGCCTCCTGAGCCGCTGGGATGACAGGCGGGCGCTTCCTTGCCCAGCCCCTCTCTTGAACTTGAGGGTTGGTATTGGTTTCGGTACCTCACACCCCAACCCCTCAGCCGTTGTCAGACCTCACAGCAGCCCTGGTGAGGGGTCCTCATGCACACAAGGTGTCCTCCAAAGGTTCACATGTTAGAAAAGGAATCCCCAAAAGTTACATGTCAATGGCATTTGCCGGGGACTTAGGGAGGTAATTAGGTTGGTTCAGATCCTGAGAGTGGGGACCCCGTGGTGGCATTAGTGGCCGGGCTTGCTCTGTCTCACCGTGTGATGCCCTCTGCACATTATGCTGCTGCAGGAAGACCCTTACCAGATGCTGGCACCAAGCTCGTGGGCTTGCCAGCCTTTAGAAGCATGAGCTCAATAAACCTTTTTTTCCTTATAGTTACTTGGTCTCCGGTATTTTGTTATAACAAGAGAAAATGGACCAAGGCAGGTCAATAACCCACAATGTATTGACTTTGCCTCCTTCCCTCTTCTTCTCTTTTCTTTTTTCACTCCTGTAAGGTCAGGCAACGGTGACCAAAAGGAGGCAGATTTTAAAAGGCCGCTGAACGAGGCTTTATTGAGACTCCACTCCCAGGAGAAACCCTTAGACCAGGAGCGTGAGAAGAGGGTCTGAGAAGTGCTCTGGGGCTGGACTGGACTGGAATTTTTATGGGCTTAGGGCATGCAGGGAGCCCTTGGGACAGGAAAAGGGGTTTTTAGAGTCCCTTGTCCTACTGGGGTTGGTCAGAGGGAGCTGGCTAAGATCCAGGATTGGCCGGGAGATCCTGCTGATTGACAGGCGGTTCCATTGGTGCCTGATTGGTGTTTCTTTTGCCTACGCGGGCTGCTTGGTGCTTTGTTCCTAAGTCACCGACCGACCTGACAATTCCTACATTTTGACATCACTTTTCAAATACCATACAGGCACCCGAGTTTTGCCTCCAGCTCTGCATTGAGGGATCCCAACTAAGACAGTCACGATGCGGAGCCCCGGAGCACAGCCTCTGGCCAGGGCAGTGCTCTGTCTGCTGAGGCTGCCACAGCATACATGGCTGGTGCGCAGGGGCCTGGGGTCCCCGGGTGGTGTCCAAGCGCCTATGACACATCTCCCATAGACTCCCAGCAAAACTTGAGGTGGTGCCATGGCAGAGACTCCTTATTGTCCTAGGACTCCGGAAGGCTGAGTATCCAGTGGCAATTACACTTCCCGCTTCCCTTGCAACTGGTGTGGTCGTCTTGTTGCCAATGGAATGTGAGCGGAAGTGAAGGGTCACCACTTAAAGGAAATGGTTTGGTTTTACTTCCTCTGATGCCCCTCTCTGGGGGTTGGCCGTGGACTGGGTGGTGGTGGTGCACGGGCTGTGGGTGAGAGCAGCATCTCAATGCAATGTGGAGCAACAAGGTCAAAGGACCCTGGGACCCCGAGTGACATTGTGGAGCACAGTTGCCTCCCCGTGTAGCCAATGGGTGTCCCTCCAGGGCACAGGCCAGCTTAGCAGTTCAGTGGGGGGGAGGGGGATTGCCATCCATCCCCATAACTGAGGCAGGTCCACCATCCACCCCTGGGATGTTACATGAGAGAGAAATACACTTTTATTCTGCTCAGACTGCAAAGTGCGTGCGGCTGTTTCAGCAACTCATCCTGCGCCCTAACTAATGCAGTCAACGGGGGTCTGAGCAAGCGAGTGACAGGCATAAATGCTGACGCCACCTCATTCGTGCCCCGAGGCCGGTGAGGCCTGGGGACGTTTCCTTTACATAACCACCCTGTGGCGTGCTCAGCACCGCAGAGCCCTGGGAGTTAGCAAAGCTCCTGGGACACTCCTGGGACCCAGGATCCTCTTAAACTGTCACAGACCTCAGCAGTCCCCGTCTTAGACTGTGTCCCCTGTCCCCCAGTGCTGTCCATTTCGATGCATTTCCTTCCAAGTCCTCTCCCCGCAGACATGGCTGCACATTGGTACCCGGGCTGCCTCCCGGGGAGCGGGCTTCAAAAGGAACATTGACCAGCCTCGGGGACGTGGGCGCACACAACAAATGGGCAGCAGTTCTGGAACAAACATGCCTGGCCTGTGCTGACCGGTTGTTGATCTCCGGGTGGGGGCCATTTTCCACCCCGTGGTCATCCTGTATCTCCTTGTCTGTTAAGCAGAGCCCGGCGGTGACAAGCTGTGCGATTAGTTTTCGATGACTGTGTAACAAGTTACCAGAAGCTTAGCGCAAAATGGCACCTGCTTATTATCTTGCAGTTCTGTAGATGGGCAATTTGGGGTGGGCATGGCTAGATTCTCTACTTGGGGTCTCATAAGGCTGAAATCAAGGCATCAGCCGGGCTGGGCTCTTATCTGAAGGCTTTGGGGAAGAATTTGCATCCAAGATTGTTCTTGTGGTTGGGAGAAATTTAGGTGCTTGTGGGTGTAGGACTGAGGTCCCTCCCACCTCCAGGATGCTGTTCCCCAGCTGGGCCACCTGTCACTTCCAGGATGTCACTCTCCAGTCCTCATACGTGGCCTCTCCATATGCAAAGTCAGTAATGGTGTCCTCCATCTTATTCATCCTTTGACTCTCTCTAACTTATGTTTCTGCCACTAACTTGAGAAAATGCTCAGCTTTTAAAGGGTTCATGTGATTCTGTGGGGCCCATAGGATACCCTCCCCTTCACTCGACTCAGAGTCAATTGATAAGCAACGGGAGTCACAGCTGCAAAATCCCTTTTGCCACCCAAGGTAACACATGGCATGACATCATATTCGGAGTCCTAGGGATTTGAGCAGAAAATCAGCTTAGAATTCTGCCTGCCATGTCTAACAACCCCTTTTATCTTAGCATACTTAAGCTTCCCCTTCCCTGGGGGGAAATAAAAGTGATCTCTTGATGCCAGTTTGGGGGAAGACCCTCACAATGTCAAGGACACTTGGAGGAAGGGTGAGTAAGCATCAGGAGGATGGATGAGTCTTGGATGAAGGATGGACACTTTCTACGCGCATCCAGCAGCATTTATTGAGAACCTATGGTTGCAGGGGCCTTGTATCTGGCAGGAGACAGAACAGCTCATGTGGAATTGATGGTCTAGTGAGATAGCTGATTAAATAAAGATGGTGAGTGTCCCCCAAAGAGCAATGTGGGGTTCATGGGAAGGAACCAGGATATAGAATGTCGGCTGAGCATGACAGGGCACGGAATGACACAGGGTTGGTAGAAACTATATGAGGATTGGGGACACCATCTCCCAGGTGACGTTACAACTCAAGTCCCTGCCAGCTTGTTTATAGAGAGTACTGGGCCCCCTAAGAATCGGGACTTGTCTTTGAACCCCGTGGGTCACCAGGAGACTACTTAGCGTATTGACAAAACCAGGGGGTAACTAACTCAGTGGGAATACCGACTTCACATGAATAAATGAAACTGTCTACATTCGAACAAAAGAACAGGACAGGTGTATTGACAAACGGTGCCTGTCCCTGACCCACGGTGCCAAGGAAGGAGTAACAGGGAGTGTTGGGTTCTCGACTCTGGATAGGAAAAGTAAATATTGTATTTACCTTAGTATCTACAGTTCTTAGTACAAGGTAGGCCTTCAATAAATATTTGAACATTGGACAGATGGTACATTGGTCATCATTTTGGGTTCACGTAAGCAAAGGACATGCAAAATAACTCTGTGCTTTTTATAGACATTGTTATTGAGGACTGGGAGTGCACCAGGGTGGGAGAGCACTTACCAAGCATGTGTAAAGTCCTTGATTCAATCCCTAGCGCTGCAAGATACCAACCCCTCCCCCAAACCAAATAAGCACTATTATTGAGGACTCATCCCTTGCATTGCTCAGTGTTCCTTAATTGGTTGGGGTGACAGACGGTTTTAATTTTCCCAGGGCTGAGAGAGTTCTTGGAACCCAGGACTTGGAGTTAAAACTAAGACTGGAAGGGTTTCCCCCCAACAAGAGACTTCCAATGTAAAATTGGGAAAGTCCCAGGAAAAGAGAGGTGAGTTGATCACCCCACCCTGAATAAAGACCCAGAGGGAAAAATAAGATTCTCTTGACATTCAACTAATGGATGGGATGTTGGGAAACTCTGATTCCCTCTTTGCCTTGACCTCAAAAGAGCTCCAAGGTCAGTTTTATGGATAATGTAGATGGCCAGACAGTCTAGGATGTCTGTCTGAAATTGTTGTTTCTGCTTTGCTTTTCATTGTTTTAATTCTCTGGAAAATTTAAAACATACGGCACAAACTGCACCCGAGATCACACTGAATGACTCTTACTGAACGTACGCGAGAGATGCCTGTTCTTTTTGTCTTGTTATTTCCCTTCAACTGGCTATTTCACTCTGTGTATTTATTATTTAGGTGGCCGACAAGCCATGCCCTGTGGGCTAAATCGGGCTTGCTGTCTTTTTCATCCAAATGAATTTTGTTGGAACCATGCTCATTCATTTATACACCGACTATGACTGCGTCCGTGTTTTGATGACAGAGTTGAGTCATTGTGACAGAGGCTATATGGCCCAAACAACCTAAAATATTTACTACTTGGGTGTGATGGCTAATCTTGAGGGTTTTTTTTTTGGGGGGGGGAGGGTACCGGGGATTGACGTCAGGGACACTTGACTATGGAGCCACACCCCCAGCCCTATTTTGTATTTTATTTAGAGACAGGGTCTCACTGAGTTGCTTAGCGCCTTGCTTTTGCTGAGGCTGGCTTTGAACCTGCGAACCTCCTGCCTCAGCCTCCCGAGCTGCTGGGATGACAGGCATGCGCCACCGTGCCCTGCTGTGATGGCTAATCTTGATTGTCAGTTTTGAGTGCATTGAGAGACCCTAGAAAACTGGCAAAGCACATGTCTGGGTGTGCCGTGAGGGCGTTTGAGAGATGATTGATGGGCATGTGGGTAGGCGAGCTGAACGTGGAAGGCACCATTCAGTAGTCTGGGGGTCCAGGGGAACAAACAGCAGCAGCAGGAGGAAGCTCATTCAGGTGTAGTCAGTTCTTGAGCACCTGGGTTTTTGCTGCAGCCACTGACCACAGACATTAGACTCCAGGTTCTTCAGCCTTTGACCATGGACTCAGGCCTGAGGCTCTCCAAGGAGTTTCCAGGCCTTCAGCCTCAGACCGGGCCTTTGTCATGGGTCTCTCTTCTTCTGAGGTTTCCAGGATCTTGGACTGAGCGGCCACTGGGTTCCCTGACTCTCCAGGTTGCGGGACTCGGCAGCCTCTGTGTAAGCCAATCTAGTAAGTCCCTTTTTATAACTATGTGTACATTCTGTTGATTCTGTTTCTCAAGAGAACCCTGACTAACACATGGGACCTTTACCATGAAAACTGTCAGCCGAGTGTGGTGGCGCACGCCTAGAATCCCAGCGACTCAGGAGGCTGAGGCAGGAGGATCACAAGTTCAAAACCAGCCTCAGCAACTTAGCGAGGCTCTAAGCAGTCTAGCAAGGCACGGTCTTAAAATAAAATATAAAAAGGGCTGGAAACTTAAAAGGGCTGGAGACGTGGCTCAGTGGTGAAGTCCTCCTGAGTTCAATCCCTCGTAACCCCCCCCGAAAAAACAAAGAACAAACAAACAAAAACTTGTCAATTCCTGCATTATGTCTGAAACCCCTAACCCTTTTAAAGGATTTATATGTAGTTGCACATTTTACACAAACATGTATATTTCCTGTTTCAGAAGTGCATATCTTCTCTATATGCGTATTTTCAGTTTACAAAAGCAATATATACACATTATAGAAATGATGACATCACAGAAATATGTAATACCAATAACACAGATTCCCCTTTAATTAATTCCTGTTGGTGGCCTCGTTAACTAGTTAACGACTGTCGATCCCTCCACTGTCCTTCCAGAGCATCAACCAATCTCCGTATATCATTAAAATAACACTGCACAAAAAATAGATCTCTATGTGAGCAAATTTTTCCTGGGTAAGCATTCTTAAACTCTCCACCAGCAGCATTTTCCTGACACACTCAGACTTTCTCACTCATTGTTTCCAATATCTTTCCTCATTGATCTGGTCAAATGAAAGCCTTTTCTGTATCCCGCTTCACAACAGCAACATCATTGCAAGTTCTAATTATTTCTGGTACCTCTTATTACCGTAAGTATTCTCTTTGAAAAAAAAAATGTCAGTATTAATTACTGTGACTTTAACTCTTGGGATCAACGAGGATGGCAGGTGCCAGGGGACTGTCACCTTGCTTCCAAAACGTCGCACTAAGTGTTCAGGACTTTGGCTTCTGCTGTTTTCTCACTGGCCTCTAAAAGACTAGCAGGACCTGTGTCCTCGTGCCACACACGTCTGATTGCTCACCTCCAGAAGTCTGGGTCTTCTAGGGCCTCTGGCACCACCCCGAATCTCAGAGCCTGGAGCTCTCTGCATCCCTTATTGCACTGATGCCTGTGTCCCCCTCAGTTCTCTTCTCAAACATTCCTTAGGTGCCTCTGGAATTCCCATTCTGCAGCCAGCAAACATCCTGATATTTTCAATGTCTTTCCCAAACATGGTCTTTTATTCTCTTGTCCTAGATTAAACCCAGTGGCCCTGCGCCTCTTGTTCAGTCTTCTCAAATGCACCCCAGAGCTCTCCTTGTCACTTTCAAAATGTTCCCCCTCCTTTTACTTAAAACATCCCAGAAACCTTCCATGTAAAGCCCTCAGGTTCCCCTGAGTTCGGACCAGCCGTCCTGCAAGCACTCCACGGCCGCCATATTGGACAGAAGAGCTGTGGCCTCAGCTGCTCCTCAGAGAGATCATCCTTTGTCCCGTCAACCATTAGATAGTCCGGTGCCCTCCTGTGGCTATGTTCTGCCCACTGTACCCGTCTCATCATCCTGGGTGTTTTCAGTGCTCACAGACAACTCAGCCAAAATCGACGTCCTCGTTCCTTGGCCTTCCCACCCAGCCACCATCTGTTCCCCCACTACTTCACCACTCTGTCCTACCGCCACACCTTGGACCTCACAACTGCTGGTGACTATTCAGTCTCTGAGATCTGGATTTCAAGTGTCCCATTTTCTGACTAAATACCTTTGCTCCAAGCCACATCCGTACTTAGTGAGACCTTTAGTTCACCCTCACCCAATGGAAATATATGCAAGCCATATATATATATATGCCATTTAAAAGTCACATTAAGCTGGAAGTGGTGGCTCACACCTGTAATCCCAGCAGCTGGGGAGGCTGAGGCAGAAGGTTGGCAAGTGTAAGGTCAGCCTCAGCAACTTAGTGAGGACCTAAGCAACCTATTTCAAAATAAAAAGGGTTGGGGCTATGATTCAGTGGCTGAGCACTCCGGGTTCAATCCCTGGTACCAAAACAAAACAAAACACAGATCAAGAAATGTAAAATAAGCTATTAAAATTAATTTTAGCAATATATTTAATCCAATAGAACTAAAACATTATTGTCCACGTGCCATCAATATAAAAATTATTAATGAGATACTGTACACATTTTTTTTTCCAGACTGCCTTTGAAATCCACCTGTACTGTACACTTGACACAGTTTAATTTAGACCAGCCGCTTATCAAGTGGTCCATGGCCACGCGTAGCTAGTGGCTACCATGTTGGATACAGCTGCTGTAGTTCATTGACCTTATTAAATTTTTATCCAACCATCTTACCCAGTGCAGATTCCATATCCTACGATGACATGATTCAAAACGTTCCTCCACTCTCTTTTTATTTCTTCACGTGGAAGGAAAGCTCATTACTGGTGGGAGCGGACCATCAGTCTGTACCCTGCAGTTGAATGTTACAGGAGGACATCGCCCACCCGGGCTGCTCTGCTTCACCTTATCTTGGTGGCCACAAATTTTAAAAAGAGAGAGACATCTAATGCTCCCCAGAAGCCTGATTCCACTTCCCTGGTTGAATTTGCTTCCTCTCTCTCTGAGACTCCTGTTGGGTCTGTTTTCATCTCTTCTCAGACCTCCCTGGCCTCCTCCTCCTCCGCCGACCTCTCCCGCTCAGATCCTGCCCTTGCTCCACTATTCATTAACAGACATCACAAATAGAGCATGTCCAGAACAGCAGCCGTCCCCTCCCCTGGCTGTTCCAGTCGGGTCATGGTGTCGTCATCAAGGTCGAAACCTGAGTCCTTTCTCATTCTTTCCTCACTTCTCATCCAAACTGAACCTAAAATCTGCCCGCTCTGGATGGAGCCACCATCGTCTCTGGCCCCGGCTGCAGTGACAGCTGGCTGGTCCTTTTGGTCTCCGCGCTGACACCTTGAAATCCGCTTTCTACCAAGCAGCCAGTACAGTCTCTGAAACACAGATCCTGCCATTCCCTTCCTTAGGACGACTCGTTTCCATGGCTACAAAGGTCCTCCGCGGTCTGACCCTTGCTCACTTCTCAGTGCAATCCTTCTTTATTCCTTTTCCCACGCCCTGCGTTCCAGCCACACCAGCTCCTCTCTTGTTACTTGGGCACACGAAGCTCTTTCTTTCCTTCTGGCTTTTGAATTGCTGATCCTCTGCCTGGAAAGATCTTCCCCTGGTGGGGCCTCGAGATGGCTTCCCCTCCTTCTGCATTTTGGAGATCCTCCCTTTACAATCCCACACAAAGCTTCTCCTCCCATTCCTCATCAGCTACTCTGTTTCCAGTTCTGTTATTTTCCTCCCTGCATTTATTATCTGAAGCCACCTGGCTTGTTTCTTGTTTACTTCTTTATCTTCTGCTTATTCACTAGAGAAGAGGGAACTTTGTCTTGTTCCCTCCTCTTTCCTGTGCCTGGCAGAGTATCTGACACATAATAGAAACTCAATGAATATTTGATCAAATGAATGAATGGTTGGAGGGAGGAAGGAAGGAACTGGGTGTTCTCACGTTTCAAGGCTCCTCTCCTTGCTGTGAATTGCACGGACTCATGGGATTGAACTTAACAGTCTCAGCAAGTTCATTAACTTCAGATTTGGGTCACCGAGGTTGACAAAGTGCTGGTCCTCTTTCCCCCTTGATAGAGATCATGTCTATAAATACAAGCTGGGTATTTAAGGCTCTTTAAATGGTACTAAAACACCAGTCTAAATGATTGCTGTTCTGACAGGGTTGGGTCAACAGAATATATATTATTCCAGGGAGGGAGATGGTGTTGAAGCCTCCGGGGCTACATCAGATTGAGAGCTCCCAGGGGTGTTCATCATGCAGGTTGTACAAATAGGTCACGACCTAGTGGTGGTTCTGGGAACTTATCATCGAGTCCCTTAAAAAATCATGTTGGCTTCTCCATGGCGGATGGATGGGAATGGAGACAAGAGTTAGGAGACCTTTGTTTGTAAGTGGCAGAAGCTCAAATTGGTTACAGCAATAAAAGAATGTATTGACTCATGTAATCAAGGAGGCTGGGAGTGTTTAGCTTCAGGTATAGGTGGATCCAGCGGCTCCGAATTATCCTTAGCCAGGATGTGGAGTTGAATTACCCCCCTCTCCTTTGAGTATGGACTTACTTCCAAAGAACAGAGTATGAAAGAGGGGAAAAACCAAAATAGCTTGATAGTTGAGAAATCGGGCAAACACTATGTTGGTCAGGTAATGAAGGTTAATGTCCCCAGCGATGAATCATTTTGATGAATCATTCCCTGTCATCACACAATGGGAGGGCATTTCATTTCTGTAAGTGTTGTCTCTGAAGCCTGAAACTCCAGTTCAATCATTAAAGAAAACATCCAGCAAACCCATGAGGAGGGGCATTCCACTTCCTGCCTGATGAGTGCCCTAGACTCTCAGTACCTTAAAAAACAAGGAAAGACCATGAAGCTGTGATTGACCAGAGACCCCTATGGAGACAGGATAACTAAACACACACCGTGTTCTCCCAGATTGGATCCTGGCACAGGAAAGGCATCGGAGGAACATCGAGTGAAATCCCAGGAAAGGGTGGAGCTTAGTTAATAGTAATGTCCCAACGTCAGTGTCTAAGTTGTGACATGCGTAGCATGGTTACACAAGTAGTTGACAATCGTGGGGACTGGGTGATAGGGTACAAGGGACTGTCTGAACTATCTTTGCAACTTTTCTGAAATGCTAAAAATCACTGCCAAGTAGACAGGTTATTTAAAAAGTGGGATTGAGTCTCTTAAAATGTCGTGTATTCATTAGCAAAAATATATATATATATCTATGACCTTTGAAAGATTTTAAAGTTAGGGTAAAGTATACATAACAAAATTCATCCTTTTAACCTTTCTAGGTGTATACCTCAATGGAATTAAGCTCAGTCACACGATTGTACAACCGTGTCACCACCGTCGACACACAGAATTCTTTAACCTTCCAAAATTAAGATTCTATAGCTGTTAAAGTATACCTCCCTGTTCTCTCCTAGACCCAACCCTGGCAACTACCGTTCTCTTTTCTGTCTCTGTGAGTTTTGTTATGGTTTAAATATGAGGCATCCACCGAGGGTCGTGTGTTAATGCTGGAATATTCAGAGAGAGGAATGATTGGATGGTGAGAGCTGGCACCTAATCGGCCATATAACTAGAGACAAGTGAGGCATGGCTGGAGGAGGGCGTCCCTGGAGGTGGGCTCCGGAGGAGTTCCTCTTCCCTGAAACCTGCTCGCCTTTCTCTCTCTGCCTCCTGGCCACCACAGACAGAGCAGCCCTCCGCCACCAGGCCCTTCCACCATGATACCCCACCTCACCTCAGAACCACAGCAATGCAGTTGGCCAACCGCAGACTGAACCCCGGCAACCGTGAGCCAAAATAAACCTTCCTTCTTCTGAGTTGTTCTTGTCAGACACGGTCACAGCCAGGAAAACCTAACTGCACAGAAATTGGTACCAGAAGTGGGAGCCCTGGCTGTGACTGACCTGACCCTGTGGTTCAGATGCCTTTAGGACTGGTTTGGGGGAGGAGTTTGGAAAAGTTTAGAGGTTCTGGCTAAAGACTTAGAATGTTTTAAATATTCATCCTTTTAATTTCACGTATCCTAATGCACTCAAGGTTTATCCATAGTGTAGCCGTGTGTCAGAATTCCCTTACTTTGAAAGATTGACTAATATTCTATTGTTTGCATATGTAATATGGTTTATCCATCCGCTCATGGAAGGGTATTTGGGTCGCTTCCTCCCGTTGGCTATGCAAAATAAAGTTTTCCTTTCGTTCTGAGCTCTCCTTTTCCTGCTGTAAGTGCTTGTCATGGGCAGGAGGACTAATCACCCCAGTTTTTCCAAGTTCTGATTTTTGGTCTATCGGCCAGCATAATTATTATAGCATCTCCCTTTACTCTTAAAGTGTCCCAGCTTGGTTACTAAATTATGTGTCCACCCAATCTCCCTGTGCAGATCTCAGCAGCTGTGGACTCCCACCCTCCCAGCAAGGAGACAGGAGAAGTTGTCCTTTTTCAACAGTTCTGACCTGCAATGGGCCCGGCAGAGTCGGATTGAGCTCGGTGGCTGATCTCAAAGCAATAATGTGAATAAGGTTATATCATGTTTTGGGGGTATAGTAAGCATGTCCACCTTTTGTATCAGGACTGGAGTCAGCTATACCCAAACCACATTGGAGAGAGGGAGGATTTGCTTCTCAGACAAAAATCAGTGGTAGGCAAAGCACAGATGTCAGTCAGATGGGGAGAGGAGAGGTCTTTAGGTGATTTATTTTCCAAATCTCCAAACTGGAATGGGGTCAAGCTGTGCTCTTCATGCTCTGCTCGAACTGCTTTGCACCACAGTTAGTGTGTTAAGAATCCCACGTCCTTGCAGCTGATCTGGTCGTGGGGGTAGTTCAGAGTGATCGATGGTTGCTGTTATGTTGTTTTCTTAACCATGATAGTTGGGAATTATTGTCCTGTTTGTGAGCTGTAATCTATAGTTGCTTCAGATTTCCTTTACGGTTCGCCCTCGGGCAAAGCAGAAATTTATTTGTGCCGCTGGAGATATACTGTGAATTCTATCTGGTACTTGTCAATGGTCAGAGTCATTGTTACCAAGGACAGATGTCTATCCCCTATTATAAGACACCCCAGCGCCATGGAGCAAGGCTGCCAGAATTCTCAGGGTGCTGGGTTCTTGGCAAGACCCATCCACCTGGACACCTGATACAAATACCTGCTAAGATCATAGACTCCAAAGGAGGACAGCCTGTGTTGGAACCTCAGGGTTCCCCCAAAGCTGTGTGACTGTTGGCAAATTACTTAATCTCAGTAGCTTATATGGCGCCATTACAAACCCCATGTGCAGCATTTAGCAAAACCTGCTGTGCATTCCTTATTCTCTCCTTCCCCGTGTACCAACCCCCAGAGCCCAGGAACTGAGATGCTCTCGGTTTTTTGTTTTTTTTTTTAATGTGTGTGTGACTCCAAATAGTACTCAACACACAGCATGTGCTTCGTAAATGATGCTTGAGTTAATTTAGCAGGAAGAAATTATAGCTAACAATGTCTTTTATATTTGGAAAGTCCTCAGTGTGGAGGGTTAATGAAAATTCTCCCTGGGTTAGAGAAGGAAGATAGCCAGGCTCCCAGAAATGTAGGCGTGGGAACAGAGGAATTCTCTTGTTAGTGAGAACATTTCAAAGCCTCTTAGCTATTAGGCTGAGTGTCTTTCTCTATTTGAAAAGCAGACTACAAATGAGTGCTAAGTGTCACAGGTCTTGTCTGCTGGCATATAACACTCTGATGAGACCGTGGCTCCTTTATTTATTTATTTTTTTAAATTTTTCATCGACATATAATCGTGCCTACTTATGGGACACACTGTGATATTTCAAGCTATATCTACAATATGTAATAATCAGCTGAGGAAAAGTGGTATATCAGTCTTCCCAACCTTTATCCTTTCTTTGTGTTGGGAATATTAAAAATCTTCTCCACCAGCAATAATGAAATATGCAATTAATTGTCAACCATGGTTACCCTACGGTGCCACAAATATCCAATCTGCAATCCTGCTCCCCTTAGCCATCCTGTCTCTGTCCCCTGTCTGCCCCCTCCTGCCTCTGGAAGCCACGATTCCACTTCTCTACCTCTACAAGGTCCACTTTTTGGCTTCCCTATGTAGGTGAGACCACATGGTATTTGTTTTTCTGGGCCTGACCTATTTCACTCAACACAATGCCTTCGTGAGATGGAAATTTGCTGGGGAATTCAGTTTATTTGACTGTTTTCTTTCAAGACACCATCCTTAGAAGATAGAGGCTGGGAGAAGGAACCAGAAGGAAAAGGAATAATTAAGAAAAATAATGGGTTTCAAAATAGCATTACAACCCTATTCAGTAAAAAAAAAAAAAAAAAGGGATGTGTTTTTCCTGCTGGATAAATAATGGAACAGAATGAGACAGGGGATGCCGAACAGAAGGCTCTTGACAAAGACAATCAATTTAGAGTTGAACTGTTTCAGATGTCTCCCGGTGCCCCACTCTGCACCCATCGGGAATGGCTTATGTCTCTCCTGTCTGTCTCTTAGACTCACAGCTGCTGAAGTTTAACCAGCCTTTTCCCAGTTGGATGGTGACAGCAGGAGATGCCAGGGCTGTGGCGGAAAGGGTCCTGTTGGTGTGGGAATCGGG